AACTCTACATAATATAGATATTTTACTACTTACGTTTTTATTGTGAGGTCCAGACTTGTCTCCTCATTTGACTGTTTAACCGCAGTCTGAACTTCAGCAGAAAAGTCCCTAAAATGTCGTCACATGACTGTTGGTCACAGTTGAATCACTCGTGGCTTCACAGTTGTGCTGATGTGCACAGATTTTTTAGTGTTTTTTTTTTTTTTTTGTGTGTGTGTGTGTGTGTTTTTTTTTCTCAACACAATCTGGTTGCCACTTTTTTTTTTTTTTTTTTTGTGTGTGTGTGTGTGTGTTTTTTTTTCTCAACACAATCTGGTTGCCACAAACTATGTAGTTTTGGCAATTTTTTAAATGAAACACGATAAAGTGATTTTAATGATATTTCATGGTTTTAAGCTTAGATGTCTCTGATTAAACAGTACATCAAAGATGAGTAGTTCAGAGACTGTTGGAAAATTCACATCTCCTGTTTTTACAGTTTCTTTTTGCAGTAAAGGATGGAATTCAACAGCACATCACTGGAAGGTTGGCTTAAACCAAAACCTAAATGTGGTTATGATAGATTTGTTAACAAGATATGAAGTGATCAAAATATTTTACAGTTGAAAAAGAAAATAAACTGCTTTCTGGCAAGCTAAGTGTTTCTGCACCACCTGACATTATTTTATGTTTCTGTCTATATTTCTGAGAAATAGGCTCCAGACCCTGAACTGTGTCGCTGTGTCAGTCGGGGCTCTGGCCTTTAATGGCAGCTTCTGCAACTAAAAAGACCAAAACAGAGCGATTGTAGGCACGTGTTACACTTGAACTTAAAACAGTTGACTGCGGACGTGCCCGGCAGCTCTCAGGTGTGAAAAACGTCAGTTCGCTGTGTCAACTTTCCCAGCAGCTGTCCAGCGCTTCCCCACAGGTTTGGTCCACTTCACTGCAGAGTCCCCCCCCCCTTTGGTTTCCTCCTGTGAGATTTTTTTTCTTTGAAGCAGATATCTGGGTCTTGAGTCATCCGGTCTAACAAGAACCCATGAGTTGAGTCATGGACCGGGATAGCTGTTTGTCTCATGCTTCACCCAGAGTATCATACCATCACAAGTGGAAAACTACTGTAAAATCTCCTTTGGCCCCTCAGGAGAGGACCACAGAAATGCAGAAGATCACAGTAACAAACCCACATCATCATAATGCCTCTCAGAGGTTTTTCCTCAGGAACGAAGATACAACTCGAATCGACAACACAGAACTAAACCCTGTTATTTTCATACTGACTTCACCCTCTGAACCCTAAAACCCACCAGTGCGCTTGAGAAAAGTCGCCCAAGTGACACCATAAACCAGCCAGAAACTGCAAAAACAGACAGAATGATTAGATTTTAAACTTTCTGATGACTCTTAAACTACTCATTCCCTGAAACTGAATTTTTTTAAAAAGACTCAAAATTACTTTATTTAGTATCTCATTTAAATATTTGCCAAGAATAAAGAATTTGCACTAAACAGATTCTGTAAAAAGTAAACATTTTGTGCTCCTGGTTGAAGCCTTCAGCGGCTCATCCACGACCAACAAACACGTGAAGAACCTTCCGGGGCTTTGAGGCTGAACCGGATTAAACTGCAGGCTGTGTTTACGCAAAGCAGCGCTGAGACAAGCATGGAAACACATTTGAAACCTAGTAAAATATGTGTAGTATGTTGAGTCACCTTTTATCCAGTATTGGGAACATCTGTGGGATCTGGGAAATATGTTGTACATGTTGACTCCAGGTTTTTCCAATCTTTGTAAACAGTCAAATATTTATTTTTTCCCCTTTTTAATGATTTATGGCATTATAACTGTGTTCTGCTGCACAGAAGGCGTGCGTGAGCTTTTGTTTACTTCCAGGCATGGTTGTGTTGTTTCCACAGAGGTGCAGGACTTTATATTGCAGTGAAAAAATGAGGCACAGTGGGTAAAAAATGTGAGCCCTCTCTTTATACTCGCTCTCCCTGATGCATCATAAATAATCACAATGCGGGTGTTTTACTGTCTTCCTGTGTTGGTGTTGTCAGAAGTGGAGAAAAGTCAAATTGGCCTGACTGTAAACTCATGTGGATGCACAATATGCAGAACCATATCCTTTTAAATTGGTTGAGGCCAGGGGGTAAAAATAAAACTCCACAGCCACTTTAAGTGATTTGTGCAGCATTTACCACAGCAGCTCCCATCTACAGCCTTCATATAGCTGCTGTTGTCTATAAGGCCAGAACTGGAGTAATGAATTTCTAAAGCTTTAAAGTGTTCCAGGTTTAAATGCAGTTTATTTTTTGCCCCACTGTGTTGTTGTCACACTGCCTCAGATCCTCTTGGCGCTGATGTCAGCCGTCGAGCTGTGCCAAAATAACGTCGTGTTTCCTGATTGGTCCGTGTCCCGCTGTGCGAGACTGTTCATGAGGTTGTTTTGACTCCTGAGTAGCACACATGTGTCTTTACTGATTCATCAGACTTGTCTCACCCCGCTGTGAGGGCGAGGAGAGGCTTCCTGTCGTGGTTAACACCCACAAGAGACCTGTGGATCCCCGTCAGAGAGAGAGGGGAGGGAGAGGTTTACTTTCGTATGCTCTTGTTTGTTCCATTAGTTAGCTTAGCATTGGCTTTTGACACCTATCAAATACACTTATTCTTTAAAAACAGTAAAGTCAGCAAATCTTATTTAAAGCTAATAAGTAAACTTTATATTTTTTGCACACTTGGAGTTCAAAACCACATTCAAAGCCATTTACTCGACTCATAAACCTGTTTTCTTCCTCCCAGGCAGGCAGCAGTAAGCAGCCACCATGCTGTCTTTGGACGAGCCGCTGGACTTGAAGCTCCCGTCGGGACGAGCAGGCGGTCCGGTGATATTAGGAAAGAGGGCCTGTCCCTCTTCCATCTGCGCCCCCCTCAGCGCCACGCGACCACGGCTCCAGTGCACGACCTTTCCATCGCCTCCCTCCTCCCCAGGTGAGAGTTTACCAGAAGAGCTGAAGAGCACGACAAGCCTCCGTCGTGTCGACTCTCTCTGAGGCGACATGCCTTTGATGATGCCCTGCTGCAGTGATTCACCCTGTCACTGTCATAACGCAATAAGTTCATTTTCTGTTCTCACCATCTCCCACTAACTTAATATTGCAAATCCAATTCAATGCACATTAATTGTCCCGTGTCACAGTGATAACGAGAGGAGCGTGACACTGACATGAAGCGACCTCGGAGCAAAACCACAGCACGACCTCTGAGACGGTCGCAGTCGGACTGTATCGCTGTAGAACTCCAACTTTACCTCAGCGCTCAGTAATGCTGATTGTGCTCCTCAGCCCTCTTTGTCAAGAGGTTGCTGTGTTTTTGTCAGTTAATGTTCTCACACAGAGTTGGATGGATGGCTAATTAAAAGAAAAAAAAAGGGGGAATGGTTTGAAGAAAATGTTTGGAATCATGCAATATGATCTCCACCACCATCACCAAAACACAACATGAGAGAATGTCTTTTGTTCATTCCTTCAGTAGAGTTCAGCAATAGGAAGAACCACAGCAAAGGTTCACCAAAGCTGTTTTAGTGGAACGTAGAGGTCCAACATCTTACTTTATGGGAGTTTTAGTTTGTCACCCATTTGTAGCCTGTGAATGTAGAGAAATATTTAGCTGCTGAATATTTCCCTCACAAATTTGTGGAGACCAAAGCAGAGCTAAAAGCATCCTAGACTCTGGGATGTATCTGTCAGGTGGTCTTAAAACAAATGCTGGTATTTTTCTGTGCAAAAACAGATAACTCCATTTTTGTAGATTTTTGGAAAAGTTATTTTTTTGTTGTTTGCTTGAGATAATATCAATCAAACTGAGTGGATTTGACTCAGTAGAAAAGACAAAAATAGAGATAACTTAAGTTTGATTGATGTTGTCTCAGGTAGACGATGGAAAAGTGGGTTTTCTGAAGGTTTGTGAAGATGGAGGTATCTGTTTTTGCAAATGAACTCTTCAGTATATAAGTATTGTGTTGTACAGGTTTGGGCCAAAAAATATATAAAAATGCCGTCGCTATTGTCATTGGTGTAATCTTTGCTTTTCCAAATGCTACTGCTAAAAGGTGTTTCACCCTGTTGCCATGTTGTTATGACGCTTTCTGTAGGCTGAAGGAGACAACTCCAGTGTTCTGATGACAGTCTCAAAAATCCTCATGCCGTCTTCAGGGTCGCTGCAGTTTCAACTTTTCTTTCAATTGTCTTCCTGCAGCATTTGTTGTTAGAGGTTGGAAGAGCGAGAGAGTGAGAGGATTGAGCCCTGTGTGCTTTGCTATAGATAAAAGCCAAATGCTCTGCAGACAAGCTTCAGCTTTTTGTCTAAGGCAACAATATAAAGAATCACAAGGGGTGAAGACGCAAAACTTGTGCCTGATGCAGAGAGACTTGAACCACAAGCTAATTATGTGAGGAAAAAGTTCTTCTTGGAATCAAATGCAGGGTCAATAAACACTTTTGGGACTTATAATGAGGACGCCTGCTAATTATCAATCAATCGGAGAAAATTTAGAACCATTCGACCTCTTGCGACTTTCAGGCAGTCGTCTAGATTGGTTAAATTAGTGGGATTGTCACGATTCACCGACAAGAACAGCAGGGCGTCATCAGCACTGACGTGGTGACCTACATCCAAATAATGAATTCATTGAAAAAGGCCCTTGTGGTGACATATGAGTAGATATTAAAATAGGTGAGATAAAATCAGGCAAATCAGGAGACAGTACGGTGCCACAAGTCATCGCCTCATTCTGCTTCTATCTAGATTCACAGTCTTCCTCCCAAGAACGACCTGGGTCCTGCTTCATCCCTCCGGCCATGGACCTCAGCCTGTCCCCTTCCTCCCGCCACGCCTCCTCCCTCTCCCCATCTCCCTCCTCCCCGTCCTCCCCCTCTCCCTCCTCACCCCTGGAGTCCCCTCACAACAGCAGCAGCCCTCAGCCACATCTCTTCTCTCGGGTGAGTCCACAACAACAGTCCACTCTACTTCCAAAACTTAACACCAGCCCTGATAGCAAGGCTGATACTGTTTTCATCCTCTTGACTCTGTGTCGTCATGGAGACACTCGTGGGAGCAGAAGCTGCCACAAAAGTAGTTCTGAGGAATTTAGACATCTGTGCAACTCAACTGTGGTCAGATTTAGTCAACATGATAGAAATTGTACAAGATGCAGGTGTAAAAGGTCACAGGTGTGTCGTTGATTTCAAAATAAAAGCTGGTTTTGAAGATGGATGCGGTTTGATGCATGAGTGCCGAGTCCTCATGTATTAATGCAGTAATGACGGCTGGATAGTGAGTCAGAATATCAGAAGGACAACAATTTGAGCACTTTTCATGCATTTGTGCTTGATGAAATATGATTTACCAGTTATTCTACAAACAGTATATTTAATCAATAATAAATAAGAGCACGGAGACACACTGTGTATGGTCACATCCACGCAGGAAGGCCTGTTACAATAATTACATAATCACTTGATCCGAGTTATTTCAGCTGGCTGCCATCATTTTGCACAACTGTTGGATTTGTTTCCATTCACCTGCATATAAACCAACAGAAATGTCGATCACTATGTTCATGTTGTTTTCCACTGTTTGCATCCCCTTCTTCTGCTCTAGTTTAAAGGCACCAACTGTTTTTTCTCGAGGCCTGACTTGACTTCTTATATTCCAACAACCACATCTTAGAGAACATCTACTTACGTCAATGTCATGGGTTTAGTTGCAAAGCCAAATCACCACACCACCGCTGTCAGCATGTTGTGGTCTGAAACATAATTGAAAAAGAAGAGTACAGCAAGTTGGAGGAGACAATTTGTCAGATTTGCAGTGAAAAGGTGGCAGTGAAAGATGCAAATACCACCAATCTAAAACCAACACAGGACTAAAAAAACAAAGACAATTAAAATGTTCATCACAATTCCAGCTGTGTGACAGTATGATCATGACAAATTTACAGCTTTAGATCAAACTTTGACTTTGAAGACGGGTGTGGTCCGACACATGAACTCATGTAATCATGAAATAATGAGTGAATGACTACTAAGTACTCGTGTGTCACAAGCGTCCAGCGTTGCAGCTGGTGTCACCCCTTCTCAAGACGCTCCCAGTATTTTGTTTGTGTACATTTCCATCAGATTAGATAGTGGCAGCTGCAGCTCTTTTGTCATTTCACAGAGGCTTTCGAGATGTTATTCTAAAGACCGAACTCCCGTTGCACAGTGTGGCTCCACCACGCGCACAAAGAGTCGGACCACCTCCGTATCGGGTTTGAAGATCTCATAACAAAGAGACCTGTGGCTCTTTTCATAATAGCAGTTTGTGAGCACGGTTCAATCAGATTGCACAGATCACAAAGTCTGACAAATGAATGTTGCTCACGATTGCATACGAACTTGCAGGTTGGATCCCTGCAGGGACCACATGTATGACATTTGTTTTGATTTGCAAAATGCGTCATGCATGATGCAAATGTGGTAAATCAACCACCTACTTTGAATTTGAGTCCAGCCAGTTGACGTATTCTCTTTTGTGATGAAGCTGAAATTGCATTCAAACTTCAACTGATCCCATCTGAGGGCAGATTTTTATAAAGTCACATCAAATGATTTTGGCTTTTCTGTGTTTTTCTTTTCTTTTGTGCCTCAGAGTTCCAAAGCACAGCAAAGTTATAAAATATCAAAAATGATAAATTAAAACCATGCATTTCGGTAGGTTGTGTAAAATAGCTCAGATACAACACACACAGATACGACAAGAGTTATTCCAAGTTAAAGAAAGGTTTAGCATTTCTGGAACTTGTTGATTTTCTTGCAGAGTTACAGTGGTGCCTTAAGGTTTGTAAACCTTTTTGGAATTTTTGCTACTTCTGCATAAGTTTGAGCTGAAACATCATCAGATTTGATGCTGTGATGCCGACGGACATTCAGAGATGGTGGAAACTTTAATATTGATTTGAAACAACGACTGGCTCGGTTACTGTGACACTGTGTCTCTCACACGCTGCATTCCTAATAAGGCCGTCTTCATTTACATGTTTTTCTTGTGTTTGTTGTCAGACTACAGAACAAGTGTAAGGTAGTGAATGAAACACAGCCCATCAGGACAATATGTTAACCAGCAGTCACTCCAGAGCCACGACCAGATGTGGGTCTGCTCTGCAAAACTACCTCAACATTATCTGACGAGTTAAAAACATTGCTGTAATGTAAATCCACGTCCATGTTCTCTAACACATTCAGTTGTCAGTCAGAGACACAGAGAGTCTTCTTCCTGAAGCAGGTGTGGACAGCAGCAGCTCAGCAGCATTTAAATGTACAGACACTGAAACAGGTCACGTAGAAGTTTAGAGGGTTATCCAGCAATGCTAATTTGAGCCATCTTTGCAGTATTTTGAGCTGAAAGTTAAATGGACACATTCTGGGGACATGTGAAGCTTTATAATGAATTTGCTGAAAAGGTGCACAAGATGGAGTTTAATCAAGTGGCTGCAGATTTGTGTGTCTAATACGCAGAGATCTTCTTGTCTCACTGTTAGCAGGAAAACAAATGACTGTGTCTCCCAAAATGTCAAACTATTTCTTTACCGTGTGTCAGTTTGTTGGAATAGACCACTGTCCTTATTATATTTTGCTGGATCGATGCGTCACCGCCTCTGCAGTCTGACCCAGCTTTTTGTCTTCTTTGACAGACATGACCAGTGTGGGTTAAATGTGACTGGAGGAATAAAACTCCCTCTGTTTCATAAAAATGCACTGTTCTGTGTAGGTGTGTGTCTTCACGTAATCAGTGAATCTTGTGGAAAGGCATGACCACAGTCTTCTCAGAATAATCCAAGCGGGGACTGATTGTGGCTGAATGTGCTCCACTCTTCTTCAGCAGGATTGAATTGAATTGGGATCCTGGGAGTGAATCTAATTTGTCGGTGCAGTGTCTGCACACAGCACACAGCCGTCCACTGACTCTGTCTAAATCAAATTCTAGCCATGCTTGAATGGTAAAACATCAAACACACAGCTTCTTTTGTTAGAGCACCAAATCTCCCCTCTTGGCCCAGATTAATCGTTTAGCTCAGAAAGTACCTTTTGGAAATTGTCAAAAGCATCAGAATTGGGTATTAAGAAGCATTCATTCATGTTCCTCTGACATACTTATTAGTTTGGCACAGATGTCTTTGAAACTGTTTCTGTACACAATCATTCACCAGCTGGCCAGTGTCAGTTTTCACTATGAGTCCAAAAAAAATCCCCCAAACACAGAATTAATCACGAATTCATCATTTTATCAACACAAATAGAGCAGGTTTGTGCACTAAGTGAAGCAGCATAGCACTCAAACAGCAACGTTAACGATATTAAAGTGGTTTAAAGCTTCGAACAATCACACACCTCAATGTAAACAAGACTAGAGACTCCACAGCAGTAATTATCCATCTTTATCACCTTCTCCTATTTCCTCTAATCAGCCGTTACAGAGTTCAGTATTGGGTCTGCTCACTGCTTCCACTGTTCAGGGTGGAGCCTTGAGCACACGTTTTATTTTCTTTTTCTTGTGAGAGTTAATAAACTACTCGCCCCCCTTCCCTAAAATGTGTTTATCTCTGCTGGCGCTGGATGTCTTAGAGCTTTTAAACAATCCTGTTGATGCTGTAGCATTAATCAGGAACTTGTTTTTCAATCTCATGCTTTACATTGTTTTGTTCTGGAATCTCTTTACTTCATGTTTTATATAGTCATAAATCAAGTATTTGCTGAAGTTAAAGTAAGAAAAAGCAGAACTTGTTGGCGTTCTCACTATGATTTAGTACTGTACAGTCTTGACCTTTACTAAGTGAAGTGTCCTGGGAGGATTTATGTTATGATTCAATTGTCTATAAATGAAATAAAACTGAACCAAATAGAATCAAAGTCTGCATATAATGGTCCGAGGTTGATCTGAGCAGTTAGTCGCTTCTCTTAATTACGCTCTAAATGATCGGACGTGATGATTGTAGTATTAAATTGCCTTCCTGTGACCTTTGTGACCTTCCTCTCCGTCCTTCCTCTCTTTTCAGGAAGCAGCTCATCACCGAGGTGTGGAAGCAGCTTCACCGCCGGGCTATCCGTTCTATTTCCCCATTAGAAGCCCACCGAGGGGCTACAGCTTCCCCTCCTCCCTGTTCATCGGTCAGAACAGAGAGAAGCCGGTTTCCCCAGAGCCCTCGCTGGATGGTCAGCTGGCCTGCCGCTGGATGAAGGTAAATCTATGATTAGTTCAATGTGCCGCGGAATTTTCTGTTCATGAAATCACAACTGCAGTTGTATGAAAAAAAAGCATGTAGAGCCACGATACAGTCATTTAATAAAAAAGGTCAGTAAAATGTCTTTGTTGAGCATTTGACTGGATCAAAAATCAGCTACATTTGGTTATTTGCTGCTGGAAAACCATAGTTTTTTAAAAAATTTTAAATCAAAGAAAAGAAAAAAAAAGACTGTAACTAATCTTGTGACCACTAGGTGGAGCTAAAAACTAAATATATGATCACAGAAAAAGAGACTGAAAACCACCAAAGGTTAAAATCATGCTGCAACAACTATTAACAATTAACGACGACAAGTAAAGACACTTCTCTTCTTCTTGCTTCTAACATTTTTCTATTTTGTCTACCTTTGTAAATCAGTCGTTTTTGGGTTTTGGATTGTTTATTTGGTGAGAAAGTCAGACCTAAATGTAAAATAGTTGTGATCCACACTCTGAGGTTTGAAGAACTATTAACACAAGGTGAACTTACTGTTTGTGGGAAAAGTTGCAGATATACCAAAACACTGAACAAACATGTTAATGGGTTGAAACTAATTTGATCCTGATTGGATCAAAGAAGAAGTCGTCATGTTGAGGTCTTTTGCATTCTCAGCTCTCTGCTCTGTAAAATCCTGTTTTTTCAATTTGCACATTTTGTTCAGTTATTTTATTTTATTTTAATTTCACTTTATTTTTCTTTTCTTTCTTTTTTTTTTTTTAAATAGCATTTAACTTTCGCCCTTTCCTGTTGTGATTGGTGTTGTTTTCTTTTGTTGCTGCTGCTGTATCACAGTCATTTCCCAGGCCTGGGATAATTAAAGTATTTTTCTATTCTTCTTTGTTTTTCCATTCTGTTCTATGATGGTGAAATATCAGATACCTGAGACACGTGTCTCATTTAGGACTGATTCTGAACAATAGAGTCGCTCTCACGTGACTCCGTTGTTGCTGTCACATTATCTAGAAAGCAATCTTAAGTTCCTTTTTGGCAGAACAAGATATTTTGACAGTTTCAGTATCGCCATTGATTCAGTCGGTTTGAGTTTACCTGTTTTAATGTGGAGACAGAAGCTGCATCGTTTGTCAGCGTTATCAGTGGGAACAGATACTCAGCACAATGTGATAGGATGATATAATATAGTAATGAGCTAGTACAGATCTGGATGTTATTTATTTACTATCATAATTATTGCTTTCAGCCTTGTCATAACCTCTTTTTTGCTCTACCCGTGAATTATTAGCTATTATTATAAATTCTAGTGAATGGAATAGGGTCTGTGATGAAATCTTCGATGACGTTTTTACTGGAACTATAAAACGATCTTGTTGTATTTGGGTATTTCTGATGCAGTCGTTATTGCTCTGTATTCCGCTTGTGGTTGATTTTTAGGATTTTATTGTTTTGTTTTGTCTTGAATGATTGAGCTTTTTATGTGGATCTTTAACATGTTGGGACTGTGCTGGAAGGGAAACATCGTCTGTAATCAATTAAATCAATCAATCAACAGCAGTCACACTCGCTCGTTTGTTATTGGAAATTTAAAGATTATCAAATGGTTTTTGATAACGGTCTGTTTCACAGAAATTATTCAGTCACGTCAGATTTATTCAGCCTGAAGTTAAAAGCAAGCGTGAAGTTTGAGCATTTCCTACCATCAATCATCAGTGTGACTTCAGCCGTCTCTCCTCCTCTGTCCTCCAGTGCCACCTGCTGTTCGACTCGCTGCAGGACCTGGTGGATCACATCAACGACTTCCACGTCAAGCCTGAAAAGGATTCTGGGTACTGTTGCCAGTGGGAGGGATGCGCTCGAAACGGGAGGGGCTTCAATGCCAGGTAATGTGTACATGCACTGCTGTCAGCGAGATGTTAAGACATGTTAAGCTGTGCAAATGCTGATGTCCTGTTTGGGATGAGAGCAGGGACGAGACTCCCACCTGTTCCTAACATTTACATTTGTTTTTTCCTTTTGTGCAACACAAAAGATGAGACAGGGCATGAGAAATGGGGCGGCTGTGCCTCAGGTGGTAGAGCGGGTTGGTGGAGCGGGTTGTCCTGCAATCGTAAGGTTGGCGGTTCGATCCCTCCACAGTCGAAGTGTCCTTGGGCAAGACACTGAACCTGCAGCTCCTCCCAGTGGCAGGCAGCACCTTGCATGGCATCTCTGTCGCCATTGGTGTATGAATGTGTGTGTTCATGGGTGAATGAGAAAACATTGTAAAGAGCTTTGGATGAAAGCGCTGTATAAGTGCAGAACATTTCCCAGAAACAGAACAATGGATGCAAAGATTTACAAAGGAATGCAGTAGACTATAGGCGTATTCACACTATGTCGAGTGTGTGATGTGATATATGTGAGAACTCTAATCTGGAGTTAAGTATATATACGTAAAGGAAGAGGGACACAAATATAAAGCCTTGTCTCCCCCCAAAACATTCCTTTACAACTAAACTGCATTTTCAGTTCTGTTTTCAGGGAAACTTATTTTCTCCTGTTTTGTTTGTGATCTATGATGTTCCTAATCAACAGCTCTTCTCATCAAACCAATCCTGTATTAAATGGGAAAGGACTTGTTACCCTGGTAACGCAGAAAATGGAGGAGAAGCTTCAAACATGTCCAAAAGGGTCATTCTTTAACCCAAACTGTGCTGTTGTCCTGAACCTAACCAAGCAGGTTTGGTGCCTTAACCTCCCCAAACAATGAGTGAAAACTAAATTAAGAATGACTAACCCCGGTCTTCTGGGTGAAAGTCCTGCTGCTGCCTCCTTACGTGGACTTCTTCAGTCCTTCCTACGACGTTGTACTCTGATCTTTCTCTCACAACAAAAATGTGAATGCAGTTGAGTTGTATGAGAACATTACTTTCGAAAGACAGTGTTGCAAAAGTGTTATTGGTTTATGGGTATTTGGTTGAAGTATTTCTCTGTTTCATTATTTGCAATGATTTGAAGTCACTTTGGTTGCTGAGGCTGGTGCACAGTAACCCTAAAACCCAGACAGTAGAGAGCTGATCTACTGTATGATCCCGTCCAAAGCAGCCCCCACACTCTGAGGAGAGTCTGGTTATTAATGATCAGTAGTCTAGTGTTAATGCCAACGCTGTCGACTGGTTGATCAGCCTCTCTGAAAGCAGGACAGAACAGGAAGTGACGCTCAATAAAATTCTGACAATCACATAAGGTCAGCGTGACGTGGCTACTCGTTAATGGTGAGTGACAGGGATTCATGAAAATCCTTAATTCACAGGCTGACTCATCACAAACCACACATTCATCATTTGTTACTTAAAAATGTGTTTTGTAGTATAAAGTGCAGCTGTTTGTCAAGGTGGAGCTACAGGTTAATCTGGTTTTAACAAAGAACAACAAAATGGGCGACCAGATAGCTCAACAGGTTGGGCAGGCGACCCATGTACAGGGGTAATAGTTCGATTCCAGCCAGCAGCTCATTTGCTGCATATCCTTTCCCCCACTCTTCTCCCCACGTTTCTCTGTCACTCTTTCAGCAGTTTCCCTGAGGTTTCCACCAAAGGGATCAATAAAGTTCTATTCTATTCCACTGTTTGTTCAAAGTTTGTTAAGCAATACCAGAAACTTAGTCGACAAGAACTGAAGTCGACAAGTCACTGAATCCAGGGCTTCCGCATACTTGCACTTCTGTCACATAATGCTCTGGAAGATCTGCACATCGCGACATAGGCTATGCAAAAATAAAGTAATGTCCCGGTTGGCACAGTCTTATGAACCTGCATTAATGATTGAGGTTCAGCCTCAGGTCAGCAGGTTGTTGGCTGGTTAATGGACTTCTAGATGTGGTGCTTTGTTTTCTCAGCCTTGGATTAGTTTCAAATAACAGCAGCCACACCTTTGTAAATATACTCAATGTGTCAAATGCTGCACCCCTTCTGACACCTATGATGTGTTATCTTTTACAGATATAAAATGCTGATCCACATCCGCACGCACACCAACGAGAAGCCGCACCATTGTCCCACCTGCAACAAGAGCTTCTCACGTCTGGAGAACCTAAAGATTCACACCCGCTCACACACAGGTGAGTCCTCCGTCAAAAAGTCCATCAAGACTGCTTCCAAAGGGAATTAAAATACAAAAAAACATACAAGATACACGTTCATTCATAAGAGCAAACAGCTTACTTCATCGTCATGCTTTCCATTGCTGGAAACATCTATCATACAACAGTACTGCTGGTAGGTTTAAACAAAGATATCTGCAACTTCAATCACAAAAACACTGAATTAAAAAAAGACTAAACTAAATGACAAGATTCAGAAGTAACCCACTAGTTTATCCATTCATCCATCTTTCATCTATACACCGCTTAATTCTCACTAGGGTCTTGACTCAGCTGACCCTATCTACACTTAGAGACAGACAACCAAGCACACTCACATTCACACCTACGGATAATTTAGAAGGGTTTAGACAGGTTTTTGGACTGTGTGGGAGGAAGCCGGAGAACCCGGAGAGAACCCACGCTGCACGGGGAGAACATGCAAACTCCACGCAGAAAGATCTCGGTGTCCTCACTGGGATGTGAACCGGTGACCTTCTTGCTGCGAGGCAATGATGCTAACCACCGCACCACCCTGCAGCCCCACTAGTTTATGTATCAAATTAGAATAGTTTTGACTGTTTTAGCTTATACTCATATGCAATCTTGATGCTTTTTTGGGACAATGGTATAATACAGGGCTGCAAGGTGGCGCAGTTGGTAACTGTTGCCTCGCAGCAAGAAGGTCGCCGGTTCGTGTCCCGGTGGGGGCACCGGAATCTTTCTGCGTGGAGTTTGCATGTTCTCCCCGTGCAGCATCGGTTTTCTCCAGGTTCTCCGGCTTCCTCCCACACAGTCCAGAAACATGTTGAGGTTAATTGGTGATTCTAAATTGTCTGTAGGTGTGAATGTGAGTGTGCTTGGTTGTCTGTCTCTAAGTGTGGCCCTGTGATAGACTGGTGACCTGTCCAGGGTGTCCCCTGCCTTCACCCCAAGTTGGCTGGGATAGACTCCAAGCGGTGTATAGATAATGGATGGATGGTAGAATACACTGATTGGTAGATTTCCCATAATGCAGTTCTTTAGAGACCTCTCATTAGACCCTCTATGTAAGGTAAAGCCCGTGTCTTTCAACATCCAATCATCCAAATCTTACCAAAAGTGACATTTTTTTCTGATTTTAAAAAGTTTTCTACAGATGTTTTCACCTGCAGTACTTTTGATCAGTAAACTAACCCTGATGTATGAAGTCTCTGGACTGACTTTAATATTGTTACTCGATGCAGTCGAGCAGTTCACACGAATGCATTCATCTTCACTTTTCTGTTGCTGACTGAGTTGTTTTAATCAGCATGTTGTGTGACCTGAGATAAGCCCAAAAGTGAGACAATGCAACTCCTCCACAGCGTAAATGGCGACTGTGTTTTCTGCTCAATTCCCTCTGGTGGTGCCAGAGTCAGTTCGCTGTTTCCCTCCTTCACTCCTGCTTATCAGCTCTTTCCGCCATTTATCACTTTTGCTGCAGACTGGCCTGTGCTCGTGTAGCTGGCATCACTGTTAGGTGCTGTGTTTACATGTTGTAGGAACAGTCGGCGTGTACCTTTATTTGTTATTGAACTTATTACTGCTAGCAAGGCTCCAAACTGACTTTTTACTTCATGTAGGTGCACCCAAAAATGTTCACGTCATCTTCTGGCCTGGTGGGCTTCTGCGTTGTGTTGTCATGAAGAGGAAACGCAGAGATCTCTTGGAAGTGATTGCTGTTTATTCTGACAGCAACAAACGATAAAGTAAAAACCTCCACCCATTGTGTTTGGACAATAGGTGGCTTTACTGACTGGTCAACATTCACAATTACTGGGAGCGTACCCCTCCCAAATAGAACAATCTGCTGACCCCTCTCCAAATCCAAAGTGACCAGACTCCCCACATGACACTGGCATCAACGGTGTTTACAGCTGTCTTACCAAATGAGATAGAAACAGCCAGAGCACTGCAAGTTAGCAAATAAAAGTAAACACTCTCACCGGAATGTAATGATGCCAAAAAATAGTTTAAAGGCATTAAAACATCTGTAAAGACACACGTTTTAATTCACTATTGTCTCTGATAAACGGTTAAAAAGAGACTCATTCAAGAGTTCAAGAACCAATCGGAAATCTGAAACTCTGATGATTCTTTGTGTTTTTGCAGCATCTGGTTCAAATAAATGGTGTAATTTTGGAAAGATTACACATCTTTGGGGTACAGAGGGTTAATATGGATGAAGATCCAAGCCCACTGATTTGTAGATTTCCCATAATGCAGTTCTGTAGAGACTTTTCATTAGACCCTCTATGTAAGGTGAAGCCCATGTCTGTAATGAGTCACAGCGCTGCTCCCAGTAGCACAATTTAATGCAGCTCACATCACCCACAGCAGCAGAGAGGAGAAGAGGACTCAGCAAACTATTGTGTGTGTGATGCAGAACGTGGGAGGAAAAAATGACATCGCACTAACATGGAGTTAGAGCAAATGTGCACCGACCAACCTGCAGAAATATGCATTAAACAACCACCCAGACTCTACTCACAACCCCTGTGGCAGGACACCTTGAACCTAACTGTGACATTTCTCATTCTCTCTCTCTGACACACACACACACACACACACACACAGACGCACACACACACACACACACCTACACACACAGACACACACACACAGAGTTTGGGTTGCATCAGGAGCTCTGGTTAGTGTATCTTGGCATGAGGTGAATAAACAAACTCCAAAGTGTAACATTAGATGTCCTCTTTGGTTTGACACATGAGCAACGCCTTTTTCTAGGATGATACGTTACAGCATCATCACATTTAAATTTGGCACAAAATCGTGTCTGTCACTTCAGTGGAAGTGTGGAAGTACAAAACTGAACTGCCCCCGTCACACGTGACACAACCTGTTTCCAGAACAAGTTGGGGGAGTCGCAACCTTGATTCCTTGATAAACCCTGGCCCTTCTTGAAAACCACCAGAGAGAAACAAAACATTGTGACATGCAGATTGGCATGAAACAAACAGAACACTAAGACTGGAAACAGCTTGTGTTTTGGTTTTGTGTTCAGCCTTCATGATGCGCTAAAGCTGTGACGGTATCTGTCAGTGAGATGATGATCATTCCACTCTGTTCCCAGTTTCGCTGCAGTATCTGAAAACAAGGCAGACGAAGATAGAAAACTGAGCTTTAACTGAAACCAGATGGAATGATCGGGCATTGCTTTCACCTGTTATCATCTCTGAGCATGTAGCATATGAAGAAATCCCCTTGGATTAGTTTAATTTGTTTGACTAATCTCACCATGGGCTGGGCACGACTTGAAACACGTCCAACTCAAATTGTAAAACACGAAAAGGTAATCTGGTGCTTGAAGTCGAGACCAGCGGGAGGCCGGTTAAAGATTATTGTGTCTAAAGTAGATCAGGTTCAACATCTACTGAAAGACTCTAATGTGGATTTCTTGGCTCTTGGTGAAACTTGACTGGACAGTAATCAGTGAAGTTTCTGATGTATTTGTATTAGAACAGAGGGGGAGTCCTGATCGATATTTAAAACAACCTCAAGTGTCTGAAATTACATTTATGATGTTGAATCCAAACAGACATTCTACTACCTGAGATGCCATTTTCACATTACAATTGTGTACGATTTTGAACAGTTCAATTGCTGCAGTGAAACTATAGATTTTAACATTAGTTTGTGAAACAAAGACAGTAAGCAAAATGTTTAACCCTCAGGGGATGCTTTAGTTTACTACCCTTTGAGAATATTGGCAGACAAAAACGTCCGCTAATATCCCCAAAGGGCAGTAAATTACGAATCAGATACTACCAAAAAAATACCAATGCATCAAAATCAGTTTTATTACTAATCTTATGTACATGTAGGCCCGATCCCCAGCCCTCCACCAGTTATTATTTGGAAGATAGAAGCCTAAATACTGAAATGTACTGGAAACCTGCACACACTGACCAGTACTTTCTGTGTGACTGCCACCGCCCACTAGAACACAAGCTGGAGGTCATCGTGACCTTACAGCACCAGGCCGAGACCGTCTCTAACCAGTGCAGGGGGAAAGGAGGAACACTGAAAACCTGTGGTTATCCTAACTGGGCCTTCATAAAGTCAGTAAAGAGATCTGGACGTGCACCAAACAGAAATAAAAGAACAACAGGTTCAGAATGTTCTACTGAAGGCCACAAGGACAGAGCAGACCAGATATCTCTAACAGGAGATAATCCCTGAAAAACATGCACCCTTACTCTTTATTTTTCATATCTGCTAACAAGGCCACCAGCACGTTAACCACACCACAGAAGTGTTCTCAACAAAAAGGCCAGCATTGCAACAGGAACAGGATCTACTTGATGGCCATTTTTTCCTCGCCCACAAGGAAATTCCTTTCCAGTTACACTCACCTTGTGCAAATATATATATGGTTTTACATGGTGGAGTAGCAAAGAATAAGACGTATTGTGTATTTGATCGGTACTTATAGCCAGGGGAGTGGTTTTTTACACAAGGTGTTGAGCTGCAAGGAATGTTTAAAAAAAGCTTTTATGACTCTTTGAAGCTTGTGGATCTCATCTGCTGCCTGCGATGTGCTCAAACATATCTGTTAATCTCATGTTTCATTGGTCAACAGTCAGTCGTCTGATACCAGTTTTTCTAGTCCGGTTGTACCAGGAACTGCGATGTGGATGGATGACTTAGAGAAAATAAACACTTTGTTTTGTAGAAGTCTGCTGCTCACATACCTGTGAACTGACACAGGTGGAGAGAGACTGAGGGCTGAACATTAGATCTGAAAGAAAATGCTTTTTCATTAATCGTACTGAAGGGCTGCAAGGTGGCTCGGTGGTTAGCACTGTTGCCTCACAGCTAGAAGATCCCCGGTTTGCGTCCCTGTTAGGACGCCTGGGATCTTTCTGCATGGAGTTTGCATTCTCTCCAGTTCTGTACGGGTTCTCCGGCTTCCTCCCACACAGTCCAAAAACATGTTGAGGTTAATTGGTGATTCTAAATTGTCCGTAGGTGTGAATGTGAGTGTGCTTGGTTGTCTGTCTCTAAGTGTAGCCCTGTGATAGACTGGTGACCTGTCCAGGGTGTCCCCTGCCTTCACCCTGAGTCGACTTTCCCACGACCCTAGTGAGGGTTAACCAGTGGATAGATAATGGATGAATGGATTCACTAACTAACTTTAAAACTTTACTAGCTTCATAGAAAGGTAAATTAGCAACACCCAGCTCTGGTTTTTGTCCTGTCATTCATTTTTTTCTCACTCCCTGCGTCTCGTCTGTCTCTCTCTTCCTCCAGGGGAGAAACCCTACATCTGCCCATATGAAGGCTGCAGCAAACGCTACTCCAACTCCAGCGACCGCTTCAAGCACACTCGCACCCACTACGTGGACAAGCCTTACTACTGCAAGATGGCAGGCTGCCTGAAGCGCTACACGGATCCCAGCTCACTACGCAAGCACATCAAAGCTCACGGTCACTTTGTGGCCCAGGAGCAGGGCGCTTCCAGCAGGCTGGGGCCGGGGCTGGGCGTTCCAGGGCACCAGAGTGCCTCTGAACTGCTCCCTGTAGGCGGGGCTCACGTCATCATCCCCGGGGCGGCTGCAGCTCTCCTCGGGGGTCTTGGGACCTCCTTGCCGCTCTCTGCTTTCTGCCATGCCAGAGCCCTCGGCCACCACGGGGCGCCGCTCTTCTCCATGGCTGGAGGAGGAGGAGGCGGCGGCTTGGGGCCACTCGGCCTTTCAGACTCCCCACTGCTACACTTTGGACTTTCAGCTGCGTCGATGTTGGGGCTGGGAGCTCTGGGAGGTCTGGGGCGAGTGGCAGGGAAGGAGCCTGAGGACGAGGAAGAAGAGGAGGAAGGAGAGGAGGGGGAAGCTCTGAACCTGTCTGCAGGGGTGGGGCCCAGACGGAGTGACCCTTTGTCATGGGTGGTTGTTCCCTCGAGGGCGTTGCTCCTTAAACCAGCTGTTGTCAGCTAGAATGTGCACTCAGCAATGCATACAACCAGGGAGTGTGTCTCCATGTTTTTCTGTGTCTGCATACGTGTGTCTGGATGTGATATACATGCATGATTGTGGAGTGTGTGTGTGTGTGTGTGAGAGAGAGAAAGTACAAAAGTCACTGCCACCTTCAGAGCCATAAAAAAAAAACAACAAAAAAAAACCGATTCAGTCATTCCAGCCCAACAACAACTGAAGGCCGACCGAGTGCAGGCGCCTTTGTGATGACTGTACAAAACTTAAACAAGACCGTTGAGTACTGCGCTGCAAAACGTTATCGTACCATGCATGTTTCAGCTAAACGATCAGTTCAGCCAAATCACAAAGTAAAAAACACCCCTAATGGTATCTAGCCATGCAGATCCAGGTTTACCTCCCCACATTGACATGACAAAATTTTTTTTTGCATAATCTTCAAGCCTCAGAGGGAAGATTTAAAAAAAAAAAAAAAAATCTGAAACACACTACAGTAAGTTTGACAAATGTAATATTTAGCAGGATGAAAAAGGTGTTGAGTTGATCTCTGACTGAAATATGTACAACTAGAAGATGGATTGCTGTTGAATTCAGTCAGACAATGTTCTTGAGGACCAACCATGCTGACTTTGGTAAACCTCAATCTGGTACCTACCCAAACAAGGCAACATGGTTCCCAAGGAAACCTTATACCGGTTATATGTCAAGGGCGTCGCTGGACTCTCAACACAGAGGAGATAAAGCGTTCTCAAGGGGCGCTTTTGACAAACTGCGAGCAGGTATTGCCTATCCTGTCATAAACACAAACACTGAGCCCAGCAAGACTAGACAAGCAAGACCACAACTTCTCCAACAAGCGTTTCTAAAGCACAAAAAAAAAGGAGAACAGGTCACCAGATACAATCAAACGTTGCATTGTGTTTTCAATCTTGCATCATCTGACGAACGCTTTACTGTCTCGGTGTCACGTCTCTTTAGATCCAAAGTAGACAGCGTACAACACCACAGGCTGCGACACAAAACAGCTGCCAAGTCACCGTAGACTTGGAGTCAAAAGGCAGATGAATTTAACTTTTAGACTGATTTCTTCATAGCCAACATTTAAGTTAATAAAGGCTAGTTATAAATGTTTTACTCTCGAGATGATGCCTCTGCTGGACCTGCTATGTAGCCCATTTGTGTCCTCACAGGACAATATAATCCAGGCAGGTTAACGAACTTTGTACATACGACAGTCCATCTTTGACAGCTCAATGCTGCCTTGACTATCATCATCATAGAGTGTTGAACAATGAGTCAGATGAGGAGTGAGAGGAGCACAGGACACTCCAATTTACCGCCTAGTTAGATCTAAGAAACACATCATTTAACTTTACCACTAAACTTCACGACTTAGTTTCATGGTATTTGGTTTATTAGTGGTCATCTGTCCATCAGTGTCTGTTGTCACAGTCCTGCCAAGAAGCAGCTCATCAGGAGCCTATATTGAGTGTGGGTGCTGGGACCATCACACCCCCCCAGTCACTCTGCTTACTGAGCTAGTTAGCATCCTAATGTTAGCATTTAGCACAAAGCAGTGCCACAGCAGAGCCTCCAGCATGGTGTTAGACCTAAAACTTACATTCAACTCCAATGAGGTACAAAACAACACGTCTGCATGACTAGATGCTGTGACTAAGTGAGGAAATGTGTGGTTTGGCTAAACTGACTCTTGAACATGCCTCAAGACGCCCATATTCTTTCCAATCATCTAAATCTTGATTTTACAAACAGTTTTAAGCAGACAATCACCGTCTACCAAACACCGAACCAGGTCAGGTGTAGTGTTTAAGCTCGACAACCCCCGCTGACTGCTTCCACTGACCCGGATTTGTTGAACGTTAATAAAGACGGGGAGGAAGCAGGGTTATGGGGAGCAACAGGAAACACAGTCCACACACAACACCGTCATGTAACGTTAAAAATAACACATTGCAGATTTCATTAAGGTCAATCGTTGTTACATCTATTTGCGTTTTTTCCCCTTCAGGAAAAGTTTTTGTTTGTGCAATTAAAATGTGAAAGTTCCAAAAAATATATATAATTTGAAAATTTGACATCATGTCCCATAAAATGATGGATGACATATTTAAAAAAGAAAAAAAAAGAGTGTTTTAATTCAACTGTTTACAAAATATTTATGTGTTTTAAGAGATAATTATGTGGTTTTGAAAAAGATTTTGCACAGATGTCTGCTGAGAGAACGGTTGAAGGCGATTTGGAATCACATCCTCCCTAAAGTCTGACTCACGGTCTCATTGTGTAAAGAAAGTTTCTGTGGCTCTTACCAGGCAGAGCAAATACTACATGTGCTTCTGAGGTGATCCCTCACCTGCTTTATGTCCAAACCCACGGCAAACAACGTCTACGTATGACGCTGGGAACATTTACAACACTACGATGTGTGACGAACAGTTCAAATCCACACAGAGAACATGTGTTTGACCATGTGATTTTTCAAGTCGCAAGAGGAAAGGTATAAAAAAAAAACCCCAACTGTGTTGACGCAACTGAATGTAGGTTTGAGGTTAACTCCTTTGCTTGCAGTTTGTCTTTGCTTATTTCTTGCTCCATTAATCATTCCAAGACAATGGTCTCGACAGGATCAGCCCTTTTCAATACCTGAGGAAAACGTTCACATAGGGAGAAGGCAGACAAAGGTGTGTATTAGGCAACAATGAGTACACATTTGCTTCAGACGAATGTTAAGACGTGAAAAAGGTACAGAAGAAGAAGCCAAATAGTTAAAAAGCAGTCCTGAGCATTTTTTTGAAGAGGAAGTGTTTGACAATGGCCACATGTGGCCAGTATCCGTGTCGATTTATCTTGTATTCATGTTTGCACATTGATTTATCCTAATCTCAAAAGTGTCCAAGTGCCTTGTGTTTCAGCTGAACTATATCACACAGTATATGAAAAAAAAAAAATATTTACGCAGATGTAAAGTGTATAAATGTACTTTTCATTACATTTTAAAAAAGAATTTAACAACTTGACAACAGATGTGATTTGTACATCAGGGCCTGTACTGCAGCACCTCCCGAGGACAACACCAGTGTTGATGACTATGACAATGACTCTACGTCAATAAACACGACCACATGAAAGGAGAGTCTCTCTGGTCTTACTTTGCATCGTGTTTGACGTCACAGTGTGTGCTTTGTGTCAGCATGCGGGGAAAGTTTGCATCATTTTTGACTTATTCCTGAATTCTATTCTAGTCGCCTCTTGGCTTGGAAGCTTAGAAAACATCACAGGAGTAACAAAAATGTATATAAGTGGATGTCATCTGTTGTTTTTCTAAACACTTATTTCATTTTCAGTTGGAGTTACGCGTCATTAGATTCACTTGTGGAAATGTGAAAGTCTGTAGCTTGACTGTGAGGGAAGTGTCTCACCCATTGTGGGTTTTAATGTTCCCCATAACAACCCTTTCTATAAAGCACAAAAGGCCCGGATGCTGTGTGGCTGGACTGGCACCAAAAAATAACCATGAGTCTCAGGGGTGTCGATTTGCAGATTTTGTTACCTGTATTCTCTAGTCGACTGGGTGTAGCTTCACATTTGCCCCACAGAGACCAAACTTATATCATCTTCTCATGAAACAAGTCTTGTTACGGCAGCAGTCGTGTGTTTCCTCAAATGTTGAGCCTCCTGGTGCAGAAAACCTGATATTTTAACTGTAGATCAGTCTTATGTTGTAATATTTGTAGTGCGACAAATACATCAAATCTAACAGGTAACGGCACATTCCTTTGCTTTTGTCTAGTTGTGTAACTGGACAAATACACAAGGGAAACAGTCACAGTGGGAGAAAACTGAGGCAAATCACTGATTCTATCCAAGGCATGTTCTGATCACATGTCTTCAATTTTTTTTGGTGTTGTTTTACCTAAATGTAGCCTAATCAAGACATGCCTCCATAAGGTCAGAATCCCCTTCGCAATAAAGTAATTTCAAGAGTTTTTTATTTTTTTCTAGGCTATAACAGCCAAAGTTTTCTTCCTTTAACACACAACAAACGAGCAGATTGTATCAGAAAAATCATCAACAATTTTGCACAGCATCTCCTCAGGAAGACAGACAATGACATGACTTTTCCAGGAATGTGTCTCCTCCCATTTGCTTAATTACTGCGGTGAAGCCCCTTCCTCCTCCCACCCATAAACCCTCAGAAAATACCGAAAAGACCGCATGACCCCATGCAATAAATTTTCAGATTACAGTTATGATGGTGGTAGAATGAGCTGGTTTTAATTTGGGAGAAATACCAAACCAACAGTTTCTCTTTTTTTTTCTGCCCTCGGTGCCTTTGTCACCATCGCGCCCTCTCACCCTCTGAGTGTTGATTATGCAAAACCAGGTGAGGTTCTGAAAAGCCTCGCCCCGAACTACAGTCGACAGAAGGTGTAAAGCCATATGATACAAGCCTCTGCCCTCCCTCCACCTCCAGTCCCCTCCCGCCTGACTGACTGACTGTGAGTTCCTCCCTCTCTCTCCTCCCTCATTCATTCTAAGAGCGAAAAGTAGCGTTTGGAAGTGGTTTTTTTTTTTTTTTTTTTCGTGGGAATTATGATGCGTAAAAGTTATCCCAAGCTAGTCAGAAGTCTGTCACTTCACTGATCAAATTCTGGGTTTCATGGCTGAGGAGAAGCAGATAGGGACGAATTAAGGAAGCAAGGAAGGCAGTTATGGGGGATCAGGACACTGGCTCAGTTGGGAATGGACTGAAAAGGTAAGAGGACTTATAAATACTGAACTCTCTTGAAGCTAAAAGAGATCTTTAGTCCAGTGCATCATCCTGTAGATTGTATGAAAGTCGAAATCAATTTATTAACTGTCTTTGGTAGATTTATGTATGTAAATATCACACTGGGGGTATGACAAATAGAATAAATTAAACTTTTGCAATCGCATATCAGCTGACCGGACTGTGTGGGGAGGCAACGGGCCGGCCTGCATTCATTTCCGCTGGGTCAATAAAGGCACAGGAGAGCCACTAGTCAGCACTGACAGCCTTCTGAGTCTACCAGCTATGATGGTTTATTTTAACAACGAGGATAAGTTGTAAAAAACGATCCGTTTTGTTTGATACCTATCTGGGCAGGTGCGTATTTTACGCACAGAAGCGCACAGACGCGACTTTTATCTGAGCATATTTCAGTCTCAATTTTTAATATAGCCCTCTGTAACTAATGTACAGTGAGGTCCTCTGACCGTGTGGTTTGGCCATTAATTGATCCCAAAGCATAATAAAAATGTGGAAACTTGAAGGCCATGTTATTTGAATCGAGAAAGGATCAAGTGATTTTTATGGTCCAAGGAATCCTGCGCGAGATCTAATCAGATTCTGTGGAACGGCTTGATTGGATCATTACTACTGAAACCTGTTTCACCAGAACGTTTGACAGCTGCGTTCAACAAAGGCGACTGAAATGTTTGTTTGTTCCTACCTGAGGCACATTGTGTTTATATACTTCCGCAACGATCAGTTTGTGGTCAGTTAACATGAGTCATTCAGTAATCATTCTAACGGATTCATGTCTTGCGCGTTCTTTTTGCAACAGACTATATTACAATATATCCATCCCTGCAAACACACGGACGCATGTTTTACGCACGTTTAGGTTTTAGTAATTTGATTAAACACATTATTTGTAGAAATAAAAACATCATGAAAATGACTCAGGGCCACAACATCACAACGCAGGACTCATTACTGCTTCAGAGGAGTCACGTCGAATTCTACGTTTCATCTAAATGGCCCTTTATCGTCATTACGCACCGCTTCTCACCTGTTGCCCTCCACTTCCTGTGAGATATATCCAACGCACCCGTCCTCACGCTGGCGGTCTTGTTCAAACTGGCATCCACTGTTGCTCTGCCAGTGTTATTGCTGAAATGTCACCAAAAATGCCGCTACAACCTGTGCAGGCACGTTGGATTTCATAGGAAACCCCGGCAGCTCCACTCATGGCGTCTCAGGACGGCTCCACGGAGCTGGCTGTCAACCCTGCGGGGCCTGATCGTGTCATGACAGTTTCTCCTCGGCTGTTGTTTGTGTCAGTGGTTGGCACCTGGAGCGCACTTAAGGCGGAGGTCTGCGTGTTTCTGTCCGTGCTGTCCTCGCTGGGATCATGGCGACTTTTCCAGTTCTTCTCCACTAAGGAGCAGGAGGTCTCTCCCTCAGATCGGTAAGCCTGAAGGCTGATGGATATTTTCAAGTCTGCAGGTCCAGACGTGGTTGGTCCCACTAGATCTTTCTGACTAGGCCTCACCTGGTTTTACCACGCAGCTGTCCTCTTGTGCTCTTGTGCTGAAAACAGATGAATTGAAGTAGTTTGCATGAAGAGAATGTTGTAGAGACGTGTTTGGTTGCAGAAAACTGACCCCAAGAAGTGGCACATATTGTCAAACATCACATTTGTAGTATTTTTGTTAAAAAAAAAAAAAAAAAAAATCAATACTGCTGATGAATTTTCTGAGTCCACTAGTGGATTAAACTACTAGTTGGTGCAGCATTAACACAGAGCTGCCTGTGTGTCTAATAGAATTATTTAATAAGTTGTTTGTGCAGCGGTTTTATGAAAGGAACATGAGCAGATATGCAAATAAGACAGATTATATCTTTCAGTTCAGGTAAACATCAAATGATTTGCATATTTTCCCGTTAGAGGTTTTGGCACCGGGCTGTCTGCTCAGTTGTTCATGTTGTTTTTGTTACTGATTAATCTATTGATGAATCCTACAGTCTGTAACATTTCAGAATGGTAAAATGAAGAGCTCACAATCTCTGAAAGGACAACATAACGTCTGCATATTTCCTACTTTGTCCTGCCAACAATCTAAAACCCAGAGATAGTCAGCTTACAAGGATATGACATGCAGAAAAGCTGAAAATCCTCACAAGCTGGAACCAAATCATGTTCTTTCTGCAAAAAAAAAAAACAACAACAACAGCAACAAAACTTACTTTAGCAGTTATTAAAGTAGTTAAATTTTCTGTCAAACAGACAGAATGATTAGTTTCAGCTTATGTTTGGTCTCCGTGTGACAGTGGATTGACAAATTCCCCATATAATTCTGTAATCCTATTTTATGTTGTGGGAGACTAATTAAGACCACACACTACAAAAACTTTAAACAAGATTTATAGAACTCTTGCAGGCTTTTGTACAATAACAAGACACTTAGAATAACAAAAGACTTATCCTTCTGATGTGCACGAGTGATATTTAGCTGTTGCATAAGTGGTGTTTATTCATTTTGTCTGTTAAAGCTGGGATAGCCAGCATTTTCTTTGCAAAGAAATATCTGATAACCTTTCATCATATTATAATCCAAGTGGTCTGAGAGGAAACGAGGCGGTTGAATCGGTTACAGAGAGGATTTTTCACTCAGGAACATAGACTGTAGATATAGATGGAGGAACCGTCACCCAAAGGTTCCCTGAAGAGCAGTTTTGAAGCTCAGTGTGTTCTCTCCTGCCATCACTGTCTTAGCAGTGACTCCTCCCAAGTCCTGGCTAATTTAAAAATGGGTGAAATGGTAGAGTGAGTGAAGCTGAGGCCGGCCAGGCTCACATCTCTGGATCATGCAGAGTCCTGTGACTGTACCGACCTGTCAGTCTGATTTACGCATAAGCTTAAGTCTCAATACAATTTAAACAGGTGAGCTATACTCAAACGGGAATTAGTTAGAGAGACCAAAACCATCTTTTATATCAGGCTGTAAACATGTTTGTTTTGGCTGTAAAGTTGGAGGCAGCCTCAAGTGGACATTTGAGGAACTGCAGCTTTTAGGACTTCCATGTTTGCTGCCATCACTGGAAGTTGTAGCTTGCTCAGGACGTTAAGATTTAGGTCTTGTGTGAAGTCAAAAATGAGCTGGGACTTTGACTGTTTTTGTATTTGAAGTGCTTGCATCGGCCCATGTGCGAGGGGCTTAGGCCTTTTCCAGATTTCCAGTTCAGTCACCCTGCACTGTCTTTTTGTCATAGGTGTTGCTAACATGACAAACCTGCGCTTCAGCCAAACTGTGTGGAGGGCTGCCCTGTTTGTTCCTTTGTTAGAGTTTCAAGTAAATGTCCCTAGGGCCAAACAAACGAAGAAAAAACTAATGACATCACACAGGGGACACTATTTGGATCTCCATGAAGCGACGTTCAAAAACACACCTGCAGGTGCTGTTTAAGGCCAAAGATGTGCTGCCAAAGACAGCGAAACTGAGATGATGATGATTTAATGGTTAGAGATGGGCTTCTGGCAAAGCGACCCATGGTGGCTGACCACAAATAGGTGTTGGTAAAGTACCAGTGCCAAGTACGGCTTAGCAGGATTCCATGGGGTATGTATTAAAGAAACTGCACAAACAGTGTTTAATGACAGGCCTAGTGGTGTGGGACAAGGACGAATACTCTGTAATTATTGCTATGAGCAAACAATTTAGGGTCTTAAGACCCAACCAGAACTTAGTGAGCAGCCGTTCAATTTAAGCACCAACAAATGCAGCCGCCTTTTAGAAACCACAATTTCACAACAGAGATGGCTAGAATGTTGCCAAAATGCCAAAGATACGCAGCATTTCAGGTCATTTTGAAACAATGCTACCATACATACTATAGTTTGTCTACGAGAGAGCGCTGGCAAGTTTGTAGAAAAAGACAAACAAACAAAAACAGTGAAAACATCATTCAGTACATGTCCTGGTCACATTTCTTTAAAACAAACCAACATAATAAAATGCATGTAATGGACCCTTTGCAAAATATTGACTGAAATATTGTTTTCTATCCATACAGCGTTTGAAATCAAGTAGGATTCAGGCCTCACAGTCACACAGCCTGTAGTTTGACAGGATATTTTATTGCTAGAAAATTCAGTTGTCTAATTTATTCCAAGGAAATTGTCGTCATTTTATTTAGGAAATTACTTGACAGTGGAACTCTATTTATTGTCCTGAATGTCCATTTTATTCATGTAAATGTCAGGGTATGCTGTCTTATGATAAATATGGCATTATTGCAAAGAACATATTGTCACTGTGATGCCTATTTAAGTGCTTGTCCTCCGTTCTACCATATTGACTGCGTAGCTGTGTACTGGGTTTACAGTGATCTAGAAAGGTCATATTTTGCTGTGGTATACTCACCAGTTCGAAATTTCCCTTTCTTTTCTGTTTAGACAACTTGTCGAGAGCCCGGGTCGTCAGACGAAGCCGTCGTTTCACTCCTGGTTCCGGTTCCTGCTTCTGCTCTGTCTTGTGGTCTTTGTCTTGTGTTACGCCCTGTCCAGCAGCTCTTCATCATGGCAGTCCAACTTTCAACTCCATCATCCTTACAAATGGCTTTTCAACCACAGCAAAAAAGTTGATATGCCTCCTTATCGGGTCCATCCAAAACACAGACACATACTCAATGAAATCCAGACAACCACAGAGCCTCCTACTGTACAGCCTGTAGGGGTTCGGTACCATCAAGCCTATCCAGGCAACTACCACTTCATAATGGATAACACAGAGGTTTGCAGCCAGAACCCTTTCCTGGTCCTGATGGTCCCAGTGGAACCAAGTAATGTGGCAGCTCGGGATGCAATCCGGCAGACGTGGGGCAACGAGAGCTTGGTCCAGGGTCAGGTGGTAGTCACTCTGTTTATGTTGGGTGTATCTGGAGGAGCTGATGTTGAGAAACTACAGCAAGAGAATCTGCAGTACCACGACCTGATCCAGAGTGATTTCGTAGACAGTTACCTCAATCTGACCATTAAAACCATGGTGATCATGGACTGGCTGGCCACACACTGCCGTACAGCAGCCTACGCCATGAAAGTTGACTCCGACATGTTCCTGAACATTGACAATCTGGTGATCATGCTACAGAAACCAGGCATCCCCAAAAGGAACTACCTGACAGGCCTGTTGATGGTGAACAGGCCAGTCATCCGTACAAAGAGCTCCAAGTGGTACGTCCCTGAGGAGATGTACCCAGATCCTCAATACCCAACCTACACCCTGGGCATGGGATATGTATTTTCCAATGATCTCCCAGAGAAATATGTAGAGGTCTCAAAATCGATCAAGCCCTTTAACATCGAAGATGCTTATATTGGAATGTGCATGAAAAATCTGGGACTCACGCCTTCGTCACCACCAGATCCTTCCCAGTTCCAGAGCTATAACTCAAAATATAATCGCTGCCAATTCTCCAAAGTCATCACCTACATTCTTAGTTCTGCACCACAGTTGGTGAACTACTGGACAGACTTGAAGAAACCTGGACCTCCTTGTTAAGACAATGAGATGCACCAACACTCAAGTGGCAGGGGTTTAACTTATTTATATATTTCTACAGAACATGTGCACTTTCTGACTTTTTGTATTTAAAGCTCCGTAAAGTTGCTAAAAAAAAAAAAAAAAAAAAAAAAACTATATGAAGGGAATGTTCACTCGTCTGGACATGTGGGGAAAAGTGTAAATGTAAATAAGTGAAGTTAAAGGTACCATTTTGAGCACTACTGGATCTACAGAGCAGTGTTTTTAAAGAGCATGTTGCTGCTTTGCTTGCATCTTTGTACCTGCATATGCACAAGGGTGGACATACATGCCAATAACACTGGGGTGCCACGATACATGTTTCTGCAAAGTGCATTAATGCGACTTATAGGTCAGTTATTATTATTATTTTTTTAAATGGAGAAAAAGCAAGAGGGAAAAAATGACATGAAGATGAAGCAGCCAGTTAAATATAAAGACTTTTCAGCAACATTTCAGCACGTCTGTCTTAAGGGCGAGGATGAATGTTGAATTTACTCGACTGTGCTTACAATGAAAAGTCCTGATGTTACGCAACAATGGAAGCAGGTCGTTAACTACTGGCAGAAATGTCTAAAAGGGTATTAGATTTTTATGTTTAATTTGCAGATGAATGTATTTTTGTAATTAAATCAAACAAGTAAAGCAGTCCAACTACTAGAAACACCTCTGAAATGTATTTGTGCAAAATGTCAGACAAAGCTTGCCCTTAAAGAATGTACTTTTTACTTCATTGACTTTGAATTTTATGTTGGCATCTATTTTTTTCTCTCTCAAGAACCATGTTTCTCATAGCAGGAGGGAAGGGAAGGGTCATTAATGTGAACACTTGTGACTCGTAATAAGAGGTCACTTAAATGCTTTAGAGAATAGATTCAGGTTTTTTTTTTCATATCTTAATGCAATACTCATGTCCACATTAATTTAAAAGTGTTAATCGCTGAAGAGAAAAACTTAACTGCACTATAATATGCACAGATTCCTTGTTGTTTTATTATTCCTCCTCTGCAGCTCATGAAGAGGGAATTTAAGACTTGAACTTTTGATTATTGTGATCATATTGGCCTCAGCTGAACTTCAGAATGGAACAAACTTACTTACACAACAATCCTGCTGAGAATGGACTTTTTTAATGGACCGTATGGAATGCAAGAATATCTGTATAATATTAGGATATACTAGAGACATGCCAGAAGTCTGGTAGATAAACGAGAACTGTTTTGTTAGGTTTCGTACAGCACCCTTTCAGTACTGTATGACTTTGTCTACACTATATTCTTTACACCTGCATTACCTAGATGGGATTCCCTTCAAATCTCCCTGAGTCTGAAACATATTTGGAAGCCCTTTTGTTGCCTCCATGCTTACTCTGCACATTCAGGCTAAGCTAATGCATCAATTTGAAATCACAGAATATCAGTGAGGCAGCGTAATTCAATAACAACCCAAAGTTAAGACAAGAAAAGTTTTGAAAAAACAAAAACAAAAATGGTCACAGAACTGGGGTGTATTTTTCAGGATGCCGCTATGCATAAATAACAAAAGACTAGATTTTAGTTTAGCCTCCGCAGTCAGCCAAGATAGTCGATTATGCATCTCACACACATCGAAAGAACAACGAAGAGCTAATCTGGCTGCCCTGTTCTGTGCAATTTGAAGCTTTTTAAGGTGATTTTAAGCAGCACTTGACCAGATGACTGAGCAGTACTCCAAGTGTGACAGAACGAGTGACCAAACAACATTCCAAAAAAAAATAAATAAAAATTACCACAACTGCTGCAGCTGGAAAACTAGAACCAAAAATGCGA